TCCTGGGTTCCTCCTGGTGCACGACAATGCCCGGCCTCATGTGGCGAGAGTATGCAGGCAGTTCCTGGAGGATTCCGTCCTGATTATGGAACACTGGACCATCTCTTCAGGATACTGGTGGGTTTGTGGGAGTTTGACCCAACCAGTCTACATGTGCTTTGTGGATTTTGAAAAGACCGTGTCCCTTGGGGGGTCCTCTGGAGGGTGCTCGAGGAGTATGGGGTACGGTTGCAGGCCATCAGATCCCTGTACAAATGGACCGAAAGTTTGGTTTGCATTTCCAGCAGTAAGTTAGACTCATTCCCGGTAGATGTTCGGCTCCCCAGGGCTGCCCTTTGTCCCCGATTCTGTTCACAACTTTTATGGACAGAATCTCTAGGCATAGCCAAGGGCCTGAGGGGGTCTGAATTGGGGGCCTCAGGATTGCATCTTTGGTTTTTGCAGATTATGTGGTCCTGTTGGCATCATCGGACTATGACCTTCAGCATGCAGTGGGGCAGTTTGCAGCCAGTGTGAGGCGGCCAGGATAAGGATCAGCACCTCCCAGTCTTAGGCCATGGTTCTTGACCCAAAAAGGCTGGATTTCCCTCAATGGGTGGGGGATGAGGTACTGCCCCGACTCCGACAAAAGCGGCTGGGATTAAGAAAAAGTGGAAGAAATGCGGAGGGGCGGATCCCTCGAGGGATTCCCCTCTGTCTGCAGGTCCCGCTCGCTTCCCCGTGGCCCTTAAAGGGCATACCCCACTGTGATCTACCCCGCGGTGTTCGTCGCACCTGGGTCGAGGTCCGAAAGTGTGATGATTTGACATGGAATGACCCCCCTGTCCCTTGTTTGCCCGGAGTCTCTGTGTGTATTTAAGTGTCCTGGTTCTGGACCACTGGCTTCTGATGTGGATTTTCACAATATAATGCTAGGCTTCAACTTCTGGCTTGAATCTAACAACAACAAAATTCTCATTATCATCGTCCACAACAATAACAACAACAGTAAGAACAATAATAATAATGGGTGGCATGGTGGTGTAGTGGCTAGCTCTTCTGCCTCATGCTGCCATGGTTACGGGCATGAGGCATGCAGAGTTTGCTTGTTCTCCCCATGTTGCATCAATTTCCTCTATATACTCCAGTTTTCTATTACGGTCCAAAGATATGCAGTTATATATATATATATAATATAATTGAAATATATATATTGTGTGTGTGTGTGTGCACACTGCAGTAGATAGGCAACTCTTGTGTATCCTTGCCTTGGACCCTATGCTGTCTACTCCTGACTCCCCGTTGATCCTGTTCAGGATAGATGGATGGCTGGATAGATGGATTGTTCAGCAGATTTTCATGTAATGGCTGTGTCATACCCAGAGCAGACGTAGGCAATTGACCATCAGTGGACGGAACCTCGCAATAATTGCGAAGTATTGTTGCCATGTATTTGAGCCATACCGAGCGTCTTTTTGTGTTGTGTCTTCCCCGTTTGTCTTGCCTGCCCCGCCTGCCCGACCTGCCCGACTCGCCTGCCCTGCCTCCCTCGCACTGCCTCCCTCGGCCTGCCTCCCTCGGCCTGCCTCCCTCACCCTGCCTCCTTCTCCCTGCCTGCCCTGTCCCAATCTCCTGATCTGCCTTCCTGGTTCCACCCGGCTTGTCATCTCCCGGTCTCGTCACTACATGTAGGACTAACCTTCCCAGATACCGAACCCTGGCGATCGACCCGACTACTCTTCCGGATTTTCCCTTCTGGCTTTGGTGTATTTGGATTTACAAATATAGGCTTGTTCTACCGCATCTCGGGGTCCGTTCCTACTCTGTCTGATTGGTGGAACAGGCTGATTGTAAAAGTACCCCTGAATTATATTGTCAGCTTGAATGTGATCAAAGAGCCATGTATATGGATAAATACATATATGCATAAACAAATAAGTTGATTAATTGAAATAAATAAACCAGTTAAAGAAAAACAGGAACAAAAAATCCCCATACTGAATAAATCAAATAGGCTAAAACATAATAAATCATGTTTGTTTATAAATAATCTGTATTCACATGTATTATGTCGATAAGAACAATGTTGATATTTGTAAATAAAAACATATTTCCTGCACCTGTCATAGACGTCCACATGACGTCCAAAAAAATTACGTTCAAATGTTGTTGAATGTCATATTGACGTATAAGTTGGGTCATGGATGGACGTTCAAATTGTGGAGACTATACGTCCTAGTCTGGACGTATAGATGTCCAGAATTGGTCATGGACTGATGGATGCAATATAGACATGATCTGCAAGTCTATCTGACGTCCAATGTTTAGTTGGTAAGCACATAAATATCATACAAAAACTGAGTAGGTTTCATCTCAGTGACATTTTACTCAGAATGAATGATTAGATGTGAAGGTTATTTCTGTTCCTGTTTCATACTGACATCCTGACCTAACTTCTCCAAAAAGGTATCTATGACTCAGACTATGCGGTCTATTAATTCAAAATGCAGAGCACTTATTGCTTGGAGAAATAAAAATATGGATATAGATTTTTTTTTTTTACATTTTTCAATTATCTACTTTTTCCCAAAGATATTTTATTTAATGAATTTTAATTATAGTTATTGAATGGATCTAGCTGCATAAAATGATCATTAGTGGACGATGCATTTTATGTGATTTCGAAGGCAGTAATTTTGTTCCTTTTACCCAAAGTGGCGTAATGTGTTATTGGTTTGTTGTACAGCTCAGTGGTCAGAAAAGGCCTGATACCTTCTACGTCCTTAAACACCAAGCTGCACAATGAGTCAATTTTTAGGAAGAAAGATTTAACAAATGTGGCGGGTGGCTTCAGTGATTGGTGTGAATTTCTATAGAAGCTTCATTTTTGGAATAATGTTTTCCTGGATTCTCTAACACATTAGCAATGCGTTTTATTCTCTCATATTTTAACCTGTCATAGGACATCAATTTAATTTGAAATGAGATATTTTATTATTAAAAAGGAAGGTGCATTATGTTTTTAGAAAATGAATAGAATGGAATGGTGTTTTAAATTATGTGTTTATAATTTGATGATTAATGAAGTTATATCCATCCATCCATATTTCAAGCCACTTTACCAGGACAAAGTCATGGTAACAATGCATTATTTTCTCCCAAAATCATTTTTACGTTGTATCTTTTTGGTTTAAGAAACAAATTTAAAAAATCTACCAAAAGTATACTTTAAACAAAAGAACAAAAGTAAAGACTATAGTTGTAACTTTCAGACTTTTTGTTCAGGTTCACAAATAACTTCCTCTTAAAAAATATCATTTCCCATCCCTTACTTCAAATCAAGTAATCTTTATTACAGAAATGTGAAATTATTTCACTTTCTTAATACAACCAAATGTATTTTGTCCTTACCATATTGTGCACATTTCCTATCACAATCCAGTTACCAATTCAGTTAGGATAATAGACTAATTTGTGAATTTCCCACAGTATGTATGCCTGTATGTGCCCTGTGATGGAATTCCTTAGCGACTGAAATATTCATTCATGCATAGAAAAGCATTTCTGCTTGACCCATCAAATGGTGTAACCAGGAGTAACCTAATTTTAGTGATGTCAGACTTCGCTGAAGCACAAAAACCCAGGCCGATTTGTCTACAACATCTAACTTCTAATTACAGATAATTTAAAACAGTTAAACACCCCCACCCCCTGCTATATCCTGGCATGTTTAACGTTTAACGACTAAGTAACCTGAAGAGCGTCAGGCGTCACTTAACGGCAGGGATACAGACTGAGAAAAGTGTCATCAGGCGATTTCGTCTTGTGCGATCATAGAGTGTATACTTACGCAAACCTAGAAGGTGTACCCTACCACACATCTAGCTATACTAAACATTTTAAATAAGTAGAAAGAGTACAGTCTAAAATAACAATACAAACTGCAGTGTAGTAAACACATAAACCAGTAACCAGTTGTTTATTATCAAGTATTATGAACTGTACATGATTGTATGTGTGTACTTTTACATGACTGGTAGCGCAGTGGGTTTGTTTACACCAGCATCACCACAAACATGTGAGTAACACATTACGCATTACAGTAGCTACGCCGTCACTAGGCAATAGGAATTTTTCAGCTCCATTATAATGTAATGGAGCCACCATCACCGTTGTTGACGGAAATGTCATTACATGGTATATGACTATAGTCTGCAAACACAGATATTCAGATTATAGAGGCATTTTCTTCCAAAGTGTTCTTCAAATAGACCTATGTGGGTGAAATATGCTATGATACACTATGTGTCTGTGACTGTGATTGGAAACGTGCTGGATGAAATCCCATGGATGGAGGAGTGATCTCAGTGCTGGGCCCTTGAACAAAGACCTACTAGCTTTGGGCAAAAGCATCTGCTAAATAACTTAAAATGTAAATGTGTTCTATAGCAAATGGCCTGGCGCACTGCAGACTGAATGGGATGCTTTGTCACACTTGATCATATTAAAACTCAATCAGACAAGTGGTTTGGACAATGGTGAAAACCCTGGCTGAAAATAATGTTACATATTTGTTTAGTGACATTTAATTTTTTTCATCCTGTAGTTAATCCTATAAAACACTTAAATCACTAATATTATAATGAATAAAATTTTTAATAAGTTAAATCAGAAGGCCAGAACTACCTCCAGTTTGGCACTGTTTAATTTTTTTAAATAATTTTTATTATAAAAGAGTAATTTAGTTGAAAGCTAAAGTACTGAGGAAGATAAATGCAATTCCACTGTCTGTTTTTATTGAAATTCTGTTAGTAATTGTACAGTCATGGTTTTGTTGTCATGGCCCAGGACTCTCAACGCTGCAGACTGGGTAGGATTCATGGAAGGTTTGATGTTGCGAAACACTACTGCTGAGTGTTCATGCTATCACACTCCCTCAGAAATGCAAATGGATATTAGACCCACACCTCTTCCGCCTCATGAGGCAAGAGCATAAGCTCCATTGGTATAAATTCTGTGAAGTTTCAGTTCTCATTACAAGGACCGGGAGCACAGCACTGCAAATTAGCAATCCTCAGAAAGACAGAGACACACCTTAGTGAAACATTCTGAAACAGGGCCAACAGTAACCTCACAAGGCCTCATCATGTGGGACCCAGGTAGGACCACGTGTTTTGTAAAATTGTCAAAAATCAGTAACATATGGCATGCCTTATTATAATGCTTTAAAATGATCAATGCTTCATTTTCCTGTGCTTACTTTTTTTATTCTGTTTTATGAAAAAAAAAACTAAAGAAAAATAGTACTGAAATATATAAAAATAATAATATAAAATAGTATTTGAGCTTTGAAGACGAATTCAATATTAAACATGCAAAACATACAGCCTGTTTGTTTTAACGTGATAGTTATGGCAGCGTTTGATGGAATCATTCGTAGATGTTGCAAAGTTCTAGTTTTATGGCTGGATCACCCCAAGCTGATTTTTGGCCACTGAAAGCTATCATGCCGTTGGTGAGACTCTGTGACTGCCTGTCTCACTGGAGTGTGTAGCACAGTTGGAGAGGGTCGATTCCTGTCTGCACTGTTTTGGTCAATTGAGAATGTTGAATTGGCATCAAACCTAAGTTCTCTGATTGGCTTGTGTCAAATATCACCTCTAATCATGCCAGAGTATCCCCATGAAAATTTTCACAATTGACTGCAGCCGGAAGCCGATTGTTCGCCTTCCTTGGTTACTGTTACTTTTTTGATGTTAGCTTGGTGTGTTCTTAGCTTTACACATGTGACTACTTTCCTGTGTAAACCATCAGGAAGGAAAGCTGTTTGTTAATCTATCAGAGGGGCATTTTAATGTGTATGCAGAAAACTACCAGTTAGAAGTTCACAGGCCGAAGAGACAACACTGTATTCCAGTTTCACTTCATAGTTTATACCATGTCTCAGAAAACAGGATTCTGCCTCCAGAGGTGGAAAGCTCGGGTCCAGAAAGTACAAATCCAGACTTTGTTTCAGCCGACCAGTTGACTACTCTGTGACTGTGACTCTTTATGCTCAACTGGTTGGTTGAAAATCTTTCTGGACCTGAACTTTCCACCTCTGGCTGCCTCTCTGTTATGTACAGGCATGCAGAACTCAATGAGTTTCAAAAAAAATCATTAGCAGTCCTTGGTCCTTAAATGTTAAAGCCCTGCTGCCTTTTGATATTGACAGATTTAGGGGTGGAAAGTAGTGACTCTGAAGATGAAGAAGAAATACAGGTATGTGTAAATATAATGATATATATGTGTGTGTGTGTGTGTGTGTGTGTGTGTGTGTGTGAACAGTAAAATGGTGAGAGATGTTCCTCTGCAGTTTGGCTTTTTATTATTTCAACTGATATGCAGACTGGCAAGTACACAGGCCTCAGCTCATGCTATCCGCCTCTGGTTTCTTCTCTACAGTTTGAGATGCTGGAGATGGAGCGAGATGAGGCCAACCAAAAGCTGTTTGAGATAGAGCATGGTAAAGTGTGGAAGTTCAACACTGCACTGGCAAAGACTTCATGTGATGGTCCTCCACTCCACTGCATGAAATCCTCCAGTCTAAAATCACCTGCACTCTTTGAAGTCCCTCTTTGAAAATATCCTGCATTGCTATATACGTAAATGCTATATAAAGTGTGTTTATGTGCAGCCTGTGAGTTCCATCGTTCACTGTCTTCAGGTGTCATTGTGGATGTGTTCATTGCAGATGTTTCTCCATGGCCTTCTCTGTATTGTTAAATTTTAGGATCACTGCATAGTAACCATGTGTTTTTGTGGGCAGTGTCTCAGCAGCTCCTGAATGAAATCGATGCCTTGGAGATTCAGTTCCAGGTGGAGCGGTCATGTCGCGAGAATGCAGAAGCATTTGCCGTCAAGGTGAGCCTATCTTTCTGCACAGCTCCCGAGGTATCTTCATACACTTCCATCTCACCTTTGCAGTGTCGGGGAAGTTACTCATACAACTAATCCATTACAGACAGAGGTAGAACGTTCAGATCCAGAAAGTTACAGATCCAGACCAAGGTATTTTTTTCCAACCAACTAGTTGAGTGACTACTCTGTCACTCTTTATACTCAACTGGTTGGTTGAAACAAAACCTTTGTCTGGATCTGTCAATTTCCACCTTTGTCTGTAATGGATTACTTTTGTGAGTAACTTCCGCAACATTGCACCTTTGGCTCATTCCTGTCTCCGTAGTTAACAAAGGAGAACAAAGTTTTGAAGAGGAAAAGCCAAGCCTTACTACCAATCTTAGAACTGCCAGAAAACCTGAACTTGAACTGCAACTTGGACCCTGAGGTTGACACTGAACCTGACCTTGACACCAGTGCAGATCATGTCATTCAGTATCAGGACAAGATCAGAGGTGAGGCTACTCTGCCTGACTTGGAGAGAGCAAGCAGCAAACGCTTTAGGGAAAAGAACGAGTGAAAAGGCGTGAGATGAACTGTGGCAAAAATATCACCATGAGTGCTTGTAGAGGCAGAGAGAGCTATACTAAACTAATGTTTAAGTCAAACGTCAAAGAAGTGATACAGTCAGAGTGATTGCAGAGTGATTGAATGGGAAAGAGTATCAGAAGGGGTCACAGAGCTATGACCAATCTGGGAACAAATAGAGACTGATGAGACTATGCAAAGAGCAACAGAGGCCAAGCTGAGGAGCAATCATTAATTACAAGAGGAGGTTCCTGGTACACCACTATTTCTGCTACTCATATACACTAGCATTAGTTTGTTTGTTACACTAGTTGCTCAGAGAAACTAGTTCAAAACATCGCGATGCCTCCGGATTGGAATATTAGACTGCAGTCATATTGTGGCTGTATTTGTTAGACACTTCACCCTCATCCTTGCCCGTTCCCCTTGATCTCAGAGGTACAGAGCTCCTTGGACCAGCTGCTGGAGGAGAAGATTCAGCTGCTGGAGCAGATGGAGGCCCTAAAGAGGGAAAATGTGGAGCTAAAAGAACAGGTAGATAAGTTCCCTGATTAAGTTCCAGGCTGATGATGAATTTTTAGCAATGCAGCAGCACAGAGCCTGAAAAGCTGTGCCGGATACCACAACATTGCATGATAAATTCCCAATAACTATTGTAACCATGGATAACTTATCATAGTAGAGAAAATCACTAGAATCACTAGACTTCCAGCTGCATGAATAGTATTATTTTTTATCACAAGCGTTCACATTTCTTGGTATATGGCTGGGCTGAGGTTAGGGTGACCATCTGGATTTTGTCCAGACAATCCACTTTTCCAGCCCTCTGTCCAGACTGCTGATGGGGGTTCCCCTTTAACCTCCTCATCCTCCCTTTTCCCTCTCCCATCCGCTTCCCTGTCAACAATTAGCATCACTCTCTCCTGCCCCAGTCTCACAAAAAAATGTGAAACATCCACACACAATTACTATGGAAACCGAGAACTGCCAGGCTTGCAAGTATCTTTTTATGCCGTTTTATTGAGATAATGATCTTGATCAATATAATGTTCATGGGTGTCCTCCGTTTTTAACCTTAGTCCTCCATTTTGGACACAGGTGTCCTCTTAGAGTCATGCCAGTGGTCACCCCAGCTAAGGTTCACCCAACGGAAGGTAGACCCCATGGTGGGCCATACCTTCTATCTCCTGTGGATGTGGTTTCAGAGGAGGCTTGGCCACCATTTATGTTGCGAGTGAGATATAAGAACATGCACGTGGCGTGTTTGACTTACCGCACACTGACGCTTTCAGCTGGTGATGGAGATCGAGGAGAAGGAGTCTATATTGAGGAAGCTAAATAAGCAGGACAGAGCCGTAAAGAAAATGAAACGAGGTGAGCATGGCCAGGTTCTCTGAATGATGGTGATGATGAAGTAACAGCAGGACCACCAGCATAACGAACTCGTTTGAAATCAAGGCAATGGAAATATAAGGAGAAACAGTCAGCAGCTTGAAGTGGGCCAGAAATAATAAAGATCTCAAATAGGAAAGCATTCTGTATGTTTGGCATGGTGTTTTCCCCATGATCGTCCTTGTTGTTCCATGTTGAAGGGTGTTTGTGAATGAGAGTTCTGATTGTATCTGCAGTGTCCCAGCTGGTCACCCAGGAGTTCAATGACATCTCCCAGAGACTGGATCTGGAACAGGGACTCAGACAGCATGCTGAGGTCTTTGCCCACCAGGTACTGTCTGTGTGTATATGTACGTGACTATGCATGTCTCTCAGCTTAGTATGGATTTCATTGTACACGTAGGTGCTGAAGTGTAGGCATAGGTTGATCTGGGCATGTGTTTGTGGTCGTACGTCTTTGTTTTCATGTATGTTTGTGTGTGTGTAACCCAGACATCTCGTATGTATGAATGAGCTTCTTTGAAATGTGTGTTTCCTGTGTATCCCTCGGAAAGAGAAAATGCTTTGATTTAATCACTCACATGAATGCGAAACGTCAGCACACAAAAGAACACGCAGACTTTTGCCAAAATTATTGACATCCCCCTACACACCAAATATGGACTTCTCCTTCTCATCTGGCTGGGCTTCATTCTGCTGAACAGACAGGCTAACGAGGTCCCACAGCCTCCATCTTGCACCACTCTCATGCCACCATTGAACGGGAGGCGAGGCCTGTAACATCAAAGGAGAGGAGCCAGGGAGGCTACCAAAACACACCCGGGTGTTGTCATTCCTGGGAGGGAGTGTACCGCCCTTCCCTCCACTTTCATAGCATTCTAAAGCTTAAATGGGAAAGTTTACACCCTTCACTAATTGCTGCGATTCAGCCATAACAGTCATGCTATAGGAAGACCCTGAATGGCATCGCTGATTGAGCGTGAATGGAGGTGCACGGGTCAGGGTGAGAGGACTTCCTCATTCAGGCAGAAACACAGTGCGGGGGGTGGGTGTTCATTCATTCAAAGGTCCTCCAGAGTAATTGGACAAATAAACACAAAAACTATGGGAAGGGGACAGCCGTCGATTCCCTCAACAAAAAAAAAAAGGATGCAGTGGCACAGCCTTGACAGCTGGTCCTGTAATGGTTCCTTTCCTGAGCCCATCTTGAGGTAAAAGGGGGTTTTGAAGCCTGGGTGCTAATTGGCTGGTATCGTAAACATTGTGGGTTAGGAGGGTGCTTTCAGAGCTGTCTGTTAGGCCCGCCTTTGTACGTGCTTCTGTATGAGCAGTGTACAAATACCCCTACAATGCATGGCCCCGAGGGGGTGCAGAAAGAAGAAAAGGACCTGCAATTTATACAGCTCAGTCTCAATGCACCAGGAAGTACTGTGTTTTCAGGAGGGTCTTCTCATTTTGCTGTAGAATGTGGACTCTGTTTAAAAACACACCCATTCATCGCAAACTTCTTACGAATGAGGCGTAAAGGATGTCTGTAAAGCACGTATTGAGAAACAGACCTCATTTACATATGAAATGCTTACACCTGCTAATTGATCAACAAGGTTTGTGTGCAGATACATTTGAAGGTGCTTTAGAGTCCTGGGTAGATTCTACATTGAGGTCAATGGCCACAGTGGTTAAAACTTGAACAGTATTTCTGAACAGATATTGTGAATGATCGTAGAGTTATGATAATAGGCTTATGGAGACAGACACAGACCACCCTGATCTTCTCTGTCTTACCACGATCAGAGTGACTCAAAAGTGAAAAAGTCTTTCCCACAATTGAAACTAGCACCTGGGGGAAACTTAGTCCTCCCAGTTCCTGAATTCTAAGTCTTCTTCTTGTTTCCTGTCACGTTTCCTGTAACTTGTGACATACCACTGTGCATTCCTCTGGAGGACACTGAAATACTAAGAAACAGAAATAAAAAAACGCAGCCGGCCCTCCCTATCTGCGGGTTCCCTGTCCGTGTGTTCAACCAACCATGCATCAACAACAAAAAAAGGCAAAAGTTAAATTTGATGCACACAGAGCGCTACACTGAATCTGTATGAATGAAGTAACTTTACAGATCCTCAGTCTCTCTCCAGGACTCGTTGTTTGAACATCGCTTTCCTCATGTCTGCCTACTTATGTACGCAGCTTTTTTTTTCTTCTTGTCATTGTTCCCTTAACAATACAGTATACCAACTGTTTACATAGCATTTACATTGTATTAGGTTACTAAAAGTAATCTGGTGATCATTTTAAGCATACGGAAGGATGTGTGTTGTTATGGCAGGACACAGGAGGGAAAAAAGGGGGAATCCACAGAGCAACTCACAACAAACAGGACTCATTAACAAAGCAGAACACAAAAGGGGGACCGTAAAATAAAGGGACGATGAGGAACCACATAGAAACACAACTAGGGAACAGAGTAAAACAGGGAGAGAGACAGGGAAACAACCACAACTACAAACATGCAGTAACAACTACAGTGACTGACTGAGGAACAGAACAAAGGCAGGCACTTAAATACATTGATAACAAGACTAGAGAGGGGACAGGTGGGAACCATAACGAATTTCCAGTCACAAAGACTCGGGGCAACAAGGAACAGTTGGGGTACATTTGCAATCAACAGGCACAGAGAGGTCAATTACCAGATATGGGAAAAGACCAAACAGGAATCTATGAAAACCAAATGAATAGGAAACACTGAACAAAAAACAAGGAACTATAACTGAAATACTTATACAAATGTTAAACCAGGAGAACATTATACCAACAAACATTAAATAATAATTAGTTGAGATTGGCCTCACGCCAGCCTAGAATCCACAACTGAAAAAGCAGAGTTGGGAACAGTGATTAATGGAACTAATTCCCCACAGATACTGAGGCACGACTGTCACACTCAGTGTCACACTCCAGTTTTGATAATCGCAAGGTCTACATATTGTCTCTGAAGTTTGTACCCTCATCCCATGCATTACCTCTACATTCCTAGAGCTCTTTCTGCAGTTCCAACTGTTTGTACATTTACATATTGATCTTCGCAAGTGTCATCCTAATTAAAGACACTGCTTGAGTAATTTTGAGTGATTTAATTAATATACATGTAATTCTGTGCTGTCCACATTAGCTGATTGGTTTACCAATTTGTCACTGGTAACACCTTATTCAAAGCGGCACAAGTAGCTTGGTAACTTAGTTACTACTCCAGTACAAATCATGAACAAATATAGTAACTGCATGGAATACAATCGTTAGAATTGATTAATAATAAACGAACATGGGATCAGTATGTAACTAACGCTTAGTTTCTGGTTAATTAATACATTAAGTAAGAGTGTACGACTACATTATTTGTGCACCTTCAAAGTGTCAACTAATCACTTAATTGAATGGTAACACTTTATTTGAGGGGACACAAATATTCTCTTAGTTATGCCTTAATTAACCACAAACTAACTCTTAGTTACAGACTTATCTGATGTTCATTCATCATTAATGAATTGTGACATCTCAAGCAGTTACTATATTTGTCACCATTTCTTTTAATTATGTAGATTTTTGTGAACTACTGAAGGAACTGCTGAAAGAACTACAGGATGAACTACTGAATGAATAAATAATAAATAACACATGAAATACTGATCTGATGTTTGCTTATCAATAATGAATTGTGGTACATCTTTTATCCCAGGTAGTTATATTTGTTAGAGCTACCCTAACTGTTAGTTCTGTAAATCTTTGTGAACTATCGAAGGAACTACTGAAGGAAAAAGTAATGAATAACACGTGAAATAAGAACATAAGAACATAAGAACTATACAAACGAGAGGAGGCCATTCGGCCCATCGAGCTCGCTTGGGGAGAACTTAACTAATAGCCCAGAGTTGTTAA